ATGAATATATTTTATTCTCGAGTATGATGGCAAAATGCTAGGGCATAATCCATTGTTTAATCAATTGTCCAAGAGAAAGTAACATTGCGCTGCTTAATTATTCAATGAACAAATGTTCATCTGACTGAATAAACTACAATTAGCCTGCAGAATAAGCAACAATGCCATACAGTTTAGTACATAACACTCACCTTGCAAAATAAACAGAAATCCTATGCAGATCAATGAGTAACTCTTGCCCTGTTTAATAAATAACACCTTTACAGAATCACAGAGTCAGTAATCCTTACCTTGCAGTTACAAAACAAACAGCATGATTTCATTTTACAGTTCCTTGATCTTTTTATGCGTGCACAGCTAAGGAGAACAGGAGGAGCGTGGGAATAATTGGATAGCCCTTTCAGAGCTGGTATAGGCATGATGGTTCAGGAAGCCCCTTCTCTGTTGTATGATTCTATGATAAGAATCACATGAGCAAAAGGAAATTAAGTGAAAAATGATTCTCTGAATAAGTAACCACTGGATGTTTCTTTCTCTGGGCTATGTTCAAGTTAAGTAGATGCTTCTTCAAGCAGCTGCTTGAAAACACCAAGTCTCATTGTTTGAATATTTTCAACTCTCTTCCATGAGCATTCCAGCTGTAATTCACAACTCAATAGTGTCAACCAACTCCTTTGGCAGAATGTTTTCTTTCAGTAGACTTGAGAGAAATACAGGGTAACATAATTTATTGCCTTCCCTCACACCTCCAAATGTGAAAAACAGAATAGACTGTAGCTCTTTTCTCCAGAAATAAGATGCTGACGGATGAACTAATGAAGAACGTAGAAATTCTGAAGGAGTTTGACAGAATAGAAGAAGTCAAGATAAATCCAAAAGAGTCTATAAATATGACAAATCACTAATAAACCCAACAAGGAACTCAGGGAAACGTGTTTACCCAGTTACTGGATAAAATTTGGAACATACTACAACAAGTGTGGTTGAGACAAATAGTATAAAGGCATTTCAGGGGAAATCTAGAGAAGTATACAGTGAAAAAAAAAGGGTATGTTGATGAAGTAAGGCAGAATGTGGACAAAAAATATTGGTATAGTTCTTTTGGACTAAATGATCTATTTCTTTGCTGTAAATTCCATGTAATTCCCACAGCAATAGATTGCACTGTGCAATGATATATACATGTTCATATCCAGGATTCTCTGTACTGAAGATCACTTGTAAGAACAGGAGAAAGCCATTCAGCCCTACTTGTTACTTTATAGAATCCCCACAGTGGAAGTGAGCCATTCGGCTCGAGTCTACACCAACCATCCAAACAGCATCCCAAACAGACCCACACTATCTCTGTAACATGCATTTCCCATAATTAATCTACCTGGCCAGCACTTCTTTGGACTATGCAAGGAAATTGGCACACCTGGGGGAAACCCACACAGATGGAGGGCGGGGAATGTGCAAACTCCACATATGTGGTCGCCGAAGGCTGGAATTGAACCAAGGTCCTGGGCACTGTGAAGCAACAGTGCTAACCACTGAGCCACCATCCCACCCTATATTTTTCCCTTTTTTGCAGAAGAAGCTATCAATCTCAGTTTTGAAATTTTCTAATTCCTGCTGTGGCTGTTTAGTGCCAATATATGCTAAATTAGGGGAGTTTTTGAACTGTGGGTTTTTATGCAAGAGGAACCAATTTCAGGGCATTCACATTCATTTTAGGCAGCACCCTTATAGCAAATTGTAAGAAGTCAATGCTACGCAACAAACAGTTCCAAAAAAGTTAACAATTGTAGGAAGTACAGATGTTTCAACATAATAGAAAGGTACTAACAAAAATTTTATTTTATTTGTCCCACTGTCTGAGTTGAAATTGCATTCTTAATCCCATATTCTGAAGACGAGTGTATAAACACAGTGAACCTGTCTGTCCAATAACAGTCCAAAAACAGACTGCAGGTTCAGTCATAATCATATGAAAGCACATTGCCCTGGCCCCAGTGTGTAGAATCATCAATATGCTCACGCATCAATCTCTAATATACTGTTTCGGCATAGGACTTTAACAAACTCCCACCACCCCATTCCTGCAGGAAGAAATTATTCCTGGTCTATAATCATTCATCTCTTAGCAACCAAATTTAATTCAACTAGCTTGAACAGAAGGCTGAAAACTGGTAATCAAGCTTCCCTCTCAATTGCGTTTGGTATTCACTCCAGGGACAGTCAGACAGGGAGATAAATTGCTTAAAGGCAGGGAACCCTAACCTTAATTTAAAAGAAAGGGATGGTGTTCTAACTCACACCATATTCTGTACATAAAGTTTGTCAATACTCACATAAATACCTCCGTTAACACCATTGTAAGAGAGCACTGATCTGTAAACAAAACACAAACCCCAGGAACAACTCATATTGATTATATTCTTCAAAAGATACTAGGGAGATTGTCCAAAACAATAGTTTAACATCTGAACTTAAATGAGAAATGATAAAACTATTGGAGTTTTGCACTATAGCTTACCATTTCATTTGAACCCTGTTGAAGAGACTCCAAACCATAACCTATTACAAAGGATGCAAGAGTAGAAGTGGCAGAGAGTTAAATACTAAATAAAAACCGAAAGAACTGCAAATGCTATAAAATCAGAGACAAAAATAAAAATTACGGGAAAAGCTCAGGAGGTCTGGCAGTGTTTGTGGAGAGAAATCAGAGTTAACGTTTTGGATCAAGTGATCTTTCCTCAGACCCCCAGTTATTCACTGTCTTATAAACCAGCCTTCCAAACCACAGCTTGATATCACCAAACTAATACCCCTGGGTTGTTTGTTTGAGTGAAAAATCTCAGCACCTCATTCCAGGTGATGTCCTGCATTCAGGGTCTTGGTCTTCCAACTAAGTTTCACAGCCCTTTTTATTTGAAAAGCTGCAGTCTTGCTTATACACCAACAAGTTACCACACAGAAATTATACATGCAAATGGACCATTCAGGTCAAACAGTCCATGTTGATATTTACCCACTCCGTCTAATGATCAAATAATTCCTCTTTTTCTTCCTTTCCCTTCATCCAATGTTTCAATCTACTGTCTTGAATTTTAATATAATTTCTTCCTCAGCACTAACCTAGAAATGAATTCTACAGCCTCACACTGAAAATTTTAAGCCCTAGATCTCATATTTAATATTGTATCAGAGGCCTTTCATTCTTGACCCCACAATTAATGAAAACAGACTTCTGTAGCCTATGCTCAAAGCTCAACACTTATTTCAGTATTGTCTAACCTGCATTGTTAGAATGAGAAAGGGAGCCACTTCTTATATATCTTCATAGCATTCTACAGTATCAACTTTATTCCCTAAAGTCGCAACATCCTTCCTATAGTGAGAAGCATAAAAACTCAGTATTCTAACTGAGTTATTACTAAATTTTTAATTTTATTACCTCTGTTCTAACTCCCAAGATAAAAGCTCCAATTCTCTTTCTTTTCTCTTTTTTAAAGAAAGCCTTATCAACCCCAAGTTCTGCCCTTAATATTTTCTTTCCTCATTTCCTATTCACCTTATTCCACATTCTCTGCTCTGTTGAATGTTGCCATGAGATACATTGCTCGACAAGTTCTTTGCTTTTCTATTTCCTCACCTTTCTAAATGGGTCGTTTGTCTCTTCTTTCCAGAATGATCATTTGATATTTAGATTCTCATGCTGCACAATCTCGCTTCCTGATTCACTCTGTTACTTTGCTGATTGGTAATGTTTCCTTCTGCTAGGTTTGTTACTGAGTTTATATCAATTCCTCCTTCCTCTCTGGCTGCATTCCATACTTCAGCATTTGTAATCAAGTTGTGAAAGGAATCCTGCTCCATTTCCACTCCCATCTCTGTTTTCGACCTGTCAGTATCTCTCTCCAACCACAACTTGCATTTGACATTAGGCACTCAATGGATCAGAATATTTTGGCTAGAGGTTCTGCATTCTCTCCTCAAAGGATAAGTTACACATTGACGCCTCTCTCCCCACACCACCAAAGAGTTATAAACTAACAAAAAAGAACTTTAACACTTTTCAAAATAAGAAAGGGAAGTTAGAACACAAAAGCCATAACATTTTTTTGTCTATTCGGCACTCACTCTGAACTCCAACCTTACTTCCCTGAAGATCTGGAAACGGAATGAAGGATTAAAAATGGTTTTATGATTGTCCACCCGACCCATTTCTGCCCTTTCAGTTTTGGTCGTATTGTGACCGCCAATATGTATGGAAGTGTTAACTACTGTATGCGTGTGCAAATACCAGGTCAAGAGGAACAACACGGTGTTGCAGGAAGTGACATTAAATGCAAATATTTATGGTAAATATAACCTGTAATGGCAAGTGTAGTGCCGCATTTCATGTGCTGTATTGAAAGAAACAATTGTCCTGCACTTTGTCACGTCGAACTTGAACTATTTGTAATGAATTTTACACCTTTTCCCCCCAAAATACGTACTTCATTAATAAAAAGAATCTTGTTCTCGTCCATTATCCAGTTTATCCCCACTGGTTAAATGTCCATTACCCCAGCATGCAGGAACAAAGCTCTGCCAGTCCCATGTTCTTATTGGACAGGGCCCCTAAACTGAAATTATACAGCCCCGACGTCTAAAGGAATACCTTTAAAAAAATCTTCTAAAAAGCACACACACACCGCCTCGAACTTAAATTCGATTTAGCTTTAGAAATCTAGCTCATAACGATGAACGAAGATAGACTTTAGGACTAGGTGGACACCTCGAAACTGAAGCACTTCAAACACGAAGCTTACACCAACTGCTTAAGTGAAGTTCTTGAATGCGAAAATCTTCCTGCTATTGAACGCACCCGACATAAAAAAAAAAGAGACGGCAACAACGAGCAGCTTTTGTTAATCAACTGATGCTGAGGTCGGTACACAATATCCTAACCCGACTGCAAATAGATAGCTTAGTTTCGAGGGAATTTCCGCCTACTTCGGCCCACTTACCCGGTTTAAAATCCCGGTTCCAGGCGACCTGCCGCAGAATGGAGATCGTCCCCGGGCCACTGTGGGTTTCACACAGTGAGGAGGTTCTCGGTCACTTACTCGGGGCGGGAGACAGCCCTGCCTCAGTGACCACAGACTGAGAGAAGCCAGAAGACATCCACCCTTACAGAATCACTGGCAGATATTCGTGATGTTCAGACCCCGTCTCCACTTAACAGCAAAACATTCACAGCCACTCAATTCAGCAATACACAAATACACCAGTGACTAACAGTCATTCTGAAGAATTGAATAAGCTGATGTGTTATCTATACTCAAAAATAAATGACAAAATAGATACAGGCAAATACAGATAATTCATTAACTGGATGGGTTTCAAGTAAGTTAAAATTGTGTCCTGCTTACATCTCTCCCCAGCCCCATATTTATTGTGGCCTCTTTTTAAAAAATGTATACATATAAATTAGTTGAACAAAATGAATCAATAAAATAATGAAAGTTGTATATTCGTATGCACAGTTAACAACAGTGGAGTAAGGAGGAGTATTGCCTGGATCTAATATAGCCTTTTCAACATGGTAATGGAAACAATAATGGGAATTAAAATAGTTAGTCCTTAGGACATTACAGACTCCTGGGGCCATATTTTCAAAGGGCTTTGGGGGAGTGAACTGATGTATGCAAAATTTAAAAATTATGGTTACTACAGTTTGTCTCAAGATCCCAATGCCTTTGGGAAAGTTTTGTATTTTTAACTAGCGGGTGGGGAAGCCAGTAGAGAATATGGTGGCAACCAATTAATAGCTGTTTAAACTCTTTAAGTGGCCTGCTCAGTTTGGAGTAGAATTCTAAATGCTCAATTCAGCAAGTCAAAATATGATTTTCTCCCTGCCCAGTCATTACTAGTGTGTTTTTACTGCTCTTTGAAAAAGCTTGTTTCCTCTATTACTGGCTGTGGGAGGCTTTTGAGACTTAAGAGTGTTCTGGTGGATTTTTTAGAGGAGTTTTCTGTTTAGAGATGTTTTCTTCACCGAGATGTTTAGCTTTGTGACATTTTTCTGGGTGCTGGGAGGTCTTAAAACTGTACTACTGACTTTTTGAAAAAATATTTTTCAAGTTCTCTTCATCAGGTGATTTCAAGTCTATTTCTTGAACTTCACTGCAGCCAGTTAACTATGCAGTGGATCCTATAGCTGCCACCGTATTTTATCATGTGGTTGGATGCCACACTGTGTTTGTGTGCTTTATAGTCTAGGTAAGAAGGCAAAGTCAAGAAAGGTTTGCAGGCTTAGAATTCAAAATAACACCATATATAATATATTAATACTAAATACTGCTACACTTGGTAACCATAGATATACCAGACTCTGACTTATTATGTTTGGATTAATCTCAAGATTCTCTAAATTTCTAGTGTGTACTGTTGTAGTCTTCTTCTAGAATGTTTTTACTCTGCCCATTCTGTGTTATTTATACTCAGTGATTTTTTCAGTTCCGGAATGTAATCAAAAGAATGCTCAGGGGTCCTGATGTCTTTGCACAAAAGTTTAAAACTCTGAATTCACCTGGGGGATGTGTGCCAGATCCTGCATTTCAAATCAGCTCCTCATAGTCACATCAGGGAATTAAAGGGAAGAGGAAGAAACTGCCAAATGAAGAAACAGTCAAAAATGTTCAAACTTCACTAAGTTTAGAACTTGTGCCTTTGGATTGAAAAATAATAGTTTCACTTGTAATTTAACAGTGGGAAACAGAAACTAGGCAGCAAAAAGGTTGGAAATTAACATCAATTGTGATGAAATTGCTGGAATATGTTATTTATTATCAGAGACAGTTTGGGGAAAATGGTTTTCAAATAAGCAGTAGACATAAGAGATTTTAGAACAAAAACAAAGTTGCTGGAAAAGCTCAGCAGGTCTGGCAGCATCAGTGAAGGAAAAAAACAGAGTTAACGTTTCGGGTCCGGTGACCTTCTGACATTCTGAGGAAGGGTCACCGGACCCGAACCGTTAACTCTGTTTTATCCTTCACAGATTCTGCCAAACCTGCTGAGCTTTTCCAGCAACTTTGCTTTTGTGCCTGATTTACAGCATCCGCGTTCTTTCTTATAAGAGATTTTGGATTGGAGCAGTTCTCTTACAGAATGACATGATTCGGATGGAAAAGCCTGTGACTTATTTTCCAATAAGTTGAATCAACATCAGAGAAGAAATTCTACTAAAGAAAAAGAAGCATTGGTGGTGTTAGTAGCTCTTCAACACTTTTTTTGTTTGACATGGAAACTATGCAATTTTAGTTTTTACAGATCATAATCCATTAAGTTTTATTGAGAACTTTGAAACTAAAATTCTGAAACTGTTTAGATGGAGTTTAAGTTTTCCATTAAAACCATTCCGCTCTCTCACTCTTGCCATTCGCTATGGTACAGCTGTCAGCTCTGCTGGAGGGGCATACACACCTGCACTCCATCACCCCAGCCACTGGTCTTCAGGACTGAAGGCATGGTGAGTGGGAGACAGGAAATCTGGTAAGTATTCCAGGTCCCCTTCCTCATAAGGAGACAAGGCAATGCCAGAAGGTACCAAACTGGAGAAGGATTCATGCAGCGTGAAGGCTGGACAAGCAGGGTAGAGGTGGAGTACCTAGCCTCTACTCGAGACACACCAGAGGTGGCTGGGCACACTGCTTCCATCCTCCTTGCCCCTCTCTGACCCTTGAAAGTTCACATCAAGTAGATCCTCAGCATGTTTGGTCCATCCTGACACAAGTGCTCTCACGGTCAGCCAATCAAACCTTACGGCATAAGACTGCACTGCTGAGCAGACTCCCTCCACCCCAGTTGCAAAACCAAGGACTACATTAAGATGTAGTGGAAGGGAGAGGAAGAAGAAACTTATTGAGGGCACTTTGGTGACACAGGTGTCGACACAATGTATGTTAATTTGTACTTTTCTATAACTGGCACTGCTTTCATCTTACATCTGTTTGTTTGTGGCTCTGTGTAGCCCCAGTTGTAAATGTTCTAGCATGAGGAATAATCCCTGGCCAAAAAGGATGTACCATGGATTGACATCTGTAGTAAAAACTGACTGCATCATCTGGAAGCAAGAGGAATAAAGCTGCTGCTGACATTTTTGGCCCTCGTCCTACAACATCCTTATTCTTTCCTGGCCACTGTGTCCAAAAGTATTGGTGTGAATGAGTTTGTCAGCGATGTATTGGGCACAACAAATAAGGGATTATACAATAGGATAGCCAGGGATTAGAGACCCTGCAGATCAGTGTCCTGTACAGTACATAGGTGTGTATGTAATGTTCTTTTCCTTTAAAAGTCCTCACATCAATGAGTCCTTTAGTCCCCTGATTCACAATTTGAGTCATTTACCTTCATTCTGAATGCGGTCACAGTCATTTTCTTCCCCATTGCGCACTTTAGATTTCCAGCACAATGGAAAGTATTAGTGAGTGCTCCTTGGTCTGCAGATTTTTTCCCCACCAAAGCAAATACTTCACAATTGTTATCCTCCCTTCCCCTAGCCTAGTTCCATAGTTCCATTCTCTAGTTCCATAGCATAGCTTGTTAAGTCTCCTTCCTGCTCAGCAACACCCTTGTTCCCAACCCCAGTCCTTTTATTTTCTGTTGGCGCATCCAAAACAGACTGACCATGGCCCACTCCTTTGAGTGATGTAACTGGACAGCCAGATGAAAAGTACCAGGATCCCTGACATCTGCACATCTCCCTGATGGTGATAACCCCTACTCCCAGACTGGCACGGACCCGCTGACTGAAAACACCTTACCAGATGCCTGACTGTGGCCAATCTCCTGGATTGATTAGGGGGTCGCTGCCATTTACTTACTGTCCAGTACTGCCTACTGACAGGTGCCTTCACTGAGGACTGTTCCCTTAAGATTCCGTGACATGACTATTTGCTTGTTGCACATGCATATGCATCTGCCATATAAACTGCTGGCACGAGATGCAGATGTAAGATTGATGTAGTGCAGTTTCTTACAACAAGACGCCTGAAGACTGCTGACCAGTAAGATAAGTTGTCTGACTGTGACTGCACATTTGGCACAGCAAAACAAGGCAAAGCAAGGATGCTGTGAGCAGGCAAGTAAGCGCTAAGTGACCAAGTGCTCAGAAAGCAAGCAACAGTCCTGAGAGGCAGCTTGGTCCAATCATTCAGCTGGCTCCTTCTGCATGTGCACAAAGTGTCCTAGTTGCAGAGTTTCAATGCTCGTTTCCAATGAACCCTATATGGGAGTTTGTACTTCCAGAGCAGCTTGCCAGTGTGTTGGACAGTGTAGGTGCCATACCATGACAGGGTGGAAAATGCTGTATGGTCTTCTATTTCTCTGGATTTTTCTCCAGAACTATAGGTATCTGTGCTCATTCAATTCTAGTCTTTTGATTTTAGTCACTCCAACATTGGAGGCCCTCCATAAATTTCACTATCTCACTTCTCTTCTTTAAGAAATTTCTTAAAACCTATCTGTTTAACCAAGCTGTTGGTCATCTGCCCTTGTGTCTCCTGAAATAACTCAAATTTTTTTGAAATTACATGTAGGTAGTACCATAGATTGTTACACTAAGATAAGCCCCTATCCAGGTAAGTTCAATCAGGAGTGAGCCTTCTATCCCTATAAGAACAGACCTTTCCTACATCCTGTCCTGTGGTCCTGAGTGCAGTTGTGAACCATTATCTGTCCCAAATCCTAAATCCTGCATTTAACTTGGACCTGCAACTGCCTGACTTTCTGCTACTTCCCAGCAACATGTTGCCACCCATTTCAATGAAGAAGTCACCTAGCCAGCTAATAATGTGAAAAATGAGCTGGCAACCCCAGACAGACTGGGTAGTCACTGGCCAATCTTCCCACCCAGTAGTTAAAATTCCTATGTGAGTGTGGTGAGTTTTTGTTCCATCCCTATGGCATACTTGCATGCCTGCTCCCCAGTAAAAAGTGAATGGATAGCTGGTTTAGAGTCTCCCCTAACACTGGTTTCAGACTTGACTTACCCAACTCTCAGCTCCCTCCACTCTCTGATGACTTTAGCTCAGCCAACATCTTGTGGTTTATATCCTAACTTGCATCTTCCTGTTTGCCCATCGTCCTTGCATTTGCCAAACCACATTGGCTTTTGGACTGGTAAATCTTCAAATTATAAAGAGTCATCCACCTTTTAAATCTTTCCAGAACTTCTCCTTCCCTATTGCCAATCTCCTCCAACCTGCCACCCTCTGAGAACTCTGCACAATCTCACACAATCTCACACAATCATTCTGTATATAGAAGAGGCCTTTTGGCCTATCAAGTCTGTACCACCAAAAATATACTCCTACTTATACTAGTCTCACTTTCCTGTACTAGGCCCATAGCCTTGAATGTTGTGACACTTCAAGTGTTCATCCAAGTACCATTTAAAGGTTAGAGATGACAGGGTGTGGAGCTGGATGAGCACGGCGGGCCAGGCAACGTTGGAGGGGCGGGGTGGGCTGGCGTTTCGGG